AAAAAAAAAAAAAAAAAACTTTCATTTGTTCTTCGACACCGAGAAGTATGTATTTTCATATATTATAATGTTAATTTCCTAATATTCAGGTTCAGCTCGTCATTAGCTGCAGGCGGTACAACTCCCGCCTCAGATGATCCCATTTGTGTCGACTGAGGGAACTTACCAATGGACGGCTGGCCCACAAACTTCGCACAGTTTGGCGCCAAAGCCCCATGAATGTTTGGGAGAATAACACTATTCTGGTTTGAGAAAGTCACAAATGGGACCCATGCAACGGTCGGCTGAAATGCTTGAGCTGATAAGCCTTGGCCTAAGCCCGAAACTCTTGGCTGCACAAGAAAATTTACGGGCATAAACTACATATTAATCCTTAGGTTAATCTAATTACAAAAAATCTTCACTTGAATACAAATTCCAATGTGGGCCTTGTAAACTTTAAATGAAATTAAGTGGGGTATAACTATGAAGAGGCTAAATCCAGAGGCAGACTTCTATCATAATCTTTATACAAACTTTAGGTAGGTTCACAAAATTATGTGATTTACACTTGAAGCATATGGCTCGAAACGTCATAAATACGTACCGCGTATACCATACCACGCACGTCAGGATTCCCACGCCTATTCATTGGTGAAAGAGGGGGCCTCTCAGAAGTTTTAACAGGAGGAATATTGGTGCTAGCCTGAAAAGTGGTTTTCAAATGAGATCAACTTAAGTAATATGTATGTTCATGCATTACTAGTTATGTTTGTAAGTGTTTTTCCCAAAAAAAAATAAATAAATGGATTAACTAACTCACCAATCCTTTTGACTCACTGGTGTTGTTTGTGGAGGCAGCCCAGCTAGTAACCTGAACAGTTGCATACCAAATCACAACTGATTCAAATTTATCGAATTAATATTGGTGACAAATAAATATTTATGCTGCTGTCGGGACTTACAGGCTCTGAACTTTTGGCTGCCTTATCAGGTTGTGAACCAGGAGTGACTTGAGATGATTGGTTCTGCATCATTAATCAATAAACACGGTCCATCAATACCAGCAGTAAGGGTTGAAAGAGACAACATAAAAATTCAAATCACTCGAAATTAGACTCGACATCAATATTAGAGTTTTGTTTGAACAAAGTTTCCCCAACATGAAAAATCAAACTTAAAGAACACATTTTCTTCATTCAATGAGGATTTGAAACACAGCTAACCCTCTGCTAAAAAAAAGACTATTGAGTTATCTGCAAAATGAGGCACAAAATTCACATTAATGCTCAACTAAGCTAACAATGAGACCAAGCTCGAATCAGACTGATGTTTTGAGTCTTACTGCATCAGTAAGAGGAATGTCGAAAACACTCTGGCGGCGTCTCCTCTTCTCAGTAGCCGACAATCGGATGAAATACTTTTGTGCATGGCTGGCCACTTGTGATGAGTTCCTCGTTGGCACATAGTTAGTAGCTATTCCTTTCCAGTCACCTTTACCGAGTTTCTCCAAACCAACCAAGAATAATCTGTGCTCCTCCTCGGACCATGGCCTACCTATAAATCAAACTCGACGATTCTCATCATTGCACAAAAACTAATAAGTACCAACCTACCAACCAACCAACCAACCAAATGTAATACAATTTTCCCCCTCAACATGTAATTACAAAATAAAAACTAAGTCTATGCCAATGATTGTACACAAATTTTCCCCTTCAACATG